CGTGACGCAGGATTTATTTATCGTTTTTAATAAGGCACGGGGGAAATAAGAGGTTTAAACGGTGAAGTAAGGGGGCACCGGCAACTTAGCGGCCAGAGCAGGGGTATCTTGTTTGACTGAGAGCGTGCTGCGGGGGGGGGGAGGGAAGGGGAGACGCGGATACCTAAATATTTCCATCAAAACAGTTATATAAAGTTATTATGCCTGTTATGTAACCGTTTCGACACTACGCGGTCTTGTCGTAAACTAAGTAGAAAACAAATCACGAAACGCGGAGGTTACCCAAAGGCAGAAGTGGGACAGGTCAAGCGAACCGCGTCCCCCAGGACGGGGACACACACACACGATGAGCCCTGCCGGGGGCAGCCGGGACCCGGCCCCACGCTGAGGGAGCTCGGGGGAGCCCACGGGCCGTCACCTTCAACAAGCAAACGATCTGCTGTTCTGGTAAAGAGTGGAAAAACCTTCATGTATGAGCCCATCTCTTCAGAGAGTAGGGAAGAGTTTTATTTCTGTGAAGTACAACAGCCAGGCGGAAAGGCAAAGTTGTGTTTGTCCTTGGTTTTAAAAGTTGGAGGCAGGTGAAAAGAGAGAAACACACAAAAGGGCAGAAAGCTTGTTTTTAAGAGCTGCTCAAAGAACATAGATGGGACTTCAGGTCATTTACCTACATTTGAGGGGCACCGTGTGAATCAGAGGCACAGCCAGCTGTAAGCTGATAAAAAGCTATTACGTTTTGTCCAACAGCAAAGACCAAAGCCAGAAATGATGTTAAAGCTAGCCAGCCCCCTCCAGATCCCTGCGAGTGCTTTCAGTGAGAACGCTGTTGAGTTAAGCAGAGGGAAGACTACTTGGGTGAAAGTTAATAGCTAATCATGCACAAAGGTCAGGCCACCTCAGCTGGTAACACTTCCAGTCTGTTACTTGTTTGTCCCAGTTTATCCCTTTTAATCTGACTGGCGTCACAAAGTCAAGTTTTTACCATGCTTTTCCTTTTACCATACAATACAAATAATTTTAAAACAGGCTAGAAGTATTTGTCAGGCAGTTCGTATTTATAATGTATTACCAGAAACTGACCTTTAGGAAGACACAGGGGTTTTTTTTCTCTGCTCATAGCTCCTTTAGATATTTCCCAAGGAAGCAGGCTTGTCAAAATGTGTGTGTAAATGCAACTATCCCTTTAGGAGATTTTTGTATTAAGGCTTTACATTTCATGAAATTAAGACAAGTGGGCAAATGAGGAACTCTTGAATCCCTTGAGTAAGAAAGCTCAAGCTTTGGCCACTGTTTTAGGTCTCAGCAAATGTATATGGGACCTCGAGGTCCACACAACCATGTTTTGTCACTTCTATTTGGGTAATTAGAATTCAAGTTCTCTCCCATGCTTGAAGCAGAAGCGGCAACCTGATCTTGAATGGATGAAATAAAACAGTATTCTTTCATTTAACTCAGGGCTTTGTGTCTTGCAGGTTTAAGAATTTATCATGGTTCCTCTGAGGATTGGTTTGCAGAAGAAAACAAAAAACCCACCACCAAACTTGAGGGGCCTAAGTAGCCACAATGAAAATGGCTGTTTTATTGCTTTACATATGAAGCTTATCTTTAATATTCAAATCTATGGAAATCTAAACCTAGAGACAACTAGACAGTTCCACAGCTTAGTTTTGTGACTCTACATGCAAATCTAAAGAAATAGTTTGCTAAATTCAATATATTCACCACAAATCATTACATTTTGTAACTAAAATCCTCAGGATCCATTGGCTGTGAAAAGCATGGGAAAAAAAACAGCCAACCAAGCTAAGTGTTAGCTCAGCCTTGCATAGCAAAAACTAAGAATTCGAAACTCGGTAATTTACCTAAACATCCATTTAATGCTACTGTCTGGTATAGACTAAGATTTCAGCCAAAGTTAAATTATTAAAAATGTATTTTCCATAAAGGATTTAAGTGCTGCATGTCCATACAGTCACCAACCTCCAATGAAACTGATGCTCAAGTTCCATCTTCCTTGTGTTTACAACTGGCAATATTCCTCCTTAAGTATCAGAACCACACAATCCTCTCACACAGCGTTTTCATTATGATTTTTGTTGTCGTTCATGAAAATCTTCATAGGGCCGCCAAGACTCTTGGCACACATATAAAAGCAAACAGTGATGAAAATTTGTAAATCAACTTTATTCAGTGATGACCATCATTTAGGCATCAGCAATAGTAACTTCAACTTCTACACCTGGTTCAATGCTGATGGAAGTGATCTGTTTCACGATCTCAGAAGGGCTGTGTAAGTCAATGAGCCGCTTATGGATACGCATTTGGAAACGATCCCAGGTCTTGGAACCTTCACCACAAGGCGTCTTCCTGGTAGTGATTCGCAGAGTCTGAAGAAAAAGCATAAACATAGAGTATTTAGTTGATGCATACAGAAGACTAATCTACAAGCAAATCAATCCACCTAAAAATACTATGGTATGGTAGCTATGTCATTGGAAAGTTACTTCTTAAGTTATATTCTACTGATGGTAACA